CTAATTTACTTAAATAATAAATTGATTTTAGCACTTTTTTTTATGTTATTGCAATCAGTTTGCTCTAGTAAATGTTATCCAATATTAGTTCAATATCGATAAAATTTGATATTATAATACACGGTAATAATATGTAGCTATATGTAAATTTTCAATATATATTATAATGTAGGATTTTCCAATCGTAGCTAATTAACTTAAATAAAAATCATTTTTATAGTGTTTATTATATATGATAAAATGAAAAATGATCGGCAAATGATCGGCAAAATGATCTGCAAAATGTGATAAAATTAAGCATGACGCTATGCTGGTTAATTAACTAACCCTCATTCCTAAGTACGCTATCTTAAAATTTTGATTAGGTAATAAATTTATCATTGGTCAATTACGATCTAAATCAATAAAAAATTTTTACATACTAAAAAAAAAAATAGCAACAATTGAAAAAGTCGAACAACAACTTGAAAAGGCACAAGCGGAATATGAGAAGGCGATGAATAATTTAGAAGAATTTATGAAGGAGGAGAAATTGAAGACGTTCAAAGATTTGTGGGGAATGGAGGAGTTAAGGAGAGAAAAAAAGAGGTTGGAGGAGTCAAAGAAAAGGGCAGAAGAGAGGAGAGATAATTGGGGCGAATTATATCAAAAAGAACTCAGTAAATGAGGTGATGTAAAATTGCGTAAAAAAATTATTTTTCATTCATTCAATTTCTTATATTGTTTATGAGCTTTAATAACGTGACTTTCTTTGGCTATTTATATTATATCTTCTATTATCTATTGATTGTTCATTTCTAGTTGATAAAGGTAGGTGTATGTGATGTCAATTTGCTTGTTTTTATACAAAATTTATTTTTTTGCTGATTTATTCAACTTAATAACTTTTTTCTTGCAGATTTTTCTCAAAAATATATTGTTACTCCTGAATATATTTTGTCCTGCGTTCAAAAATATAGAAGATCAACTTATGAATCTCCTCCAAAGGTAATTTAATGCATATCGTTCATTTATATATTAATTTATTTACCATATTTTTATACTTATATTATTCTAGCATATATCTACATATGGAAAAGATTTCAAGTTTCTTGGCCGTGAAGAAACAAAGGAACGACTTTAGAATGGAACTTTAAATACAAATGGTGTTAAAAAACGTTACTATGCATTTCTGAACAAAATTATAGATCATAATTTCCACCCAATTCCATTTATTGCAGCAGGACCTGGTACTGGGAAAACTCGAGTATTGGAAGAAAGTTTGAATATGATGCAACAATGCGCAGAAAATGACAGTGATTCTGATTTGAAAGAACTGGTAAATAATGCCGTATTGATTTATGTTACTTATGGGAATGCTAGTGCCGCTTCTCTAACAGACAGGAATATTGGTGGTGAAATAAGTTTGTCATTACGGATTCTCCATCAATATTTTGTGGAAGGAAGCCATTTAAATTTTTGTGACTTTGTTATGATCATACAAAATACCTTTCTTAATATTGCTGACTTCAATTTGAATAGAGTTCTCAGCACCATCATATTAGATATTAACAAAAAAAAGGTCATGATTATCAACTGTATAGATGAAATTAACAAAATATATGAATTGGATAATTCAACTTTTAAGGATATGGTGAATGCCATTGGTTCACATTGTTGTACAAGTAATGATTCGATGTTTTATGTGCCTTTTCTTGCTGGAACAATTTACAAACCTTTACATCAAATTGTCACAAAGTCTATGCACCCTCCTTTACCTATTCCGCTTCCACTATTGGGAATAGATCATATGCTAGAAATTGGACGAAGGTTGCAGTTTCCAGTTGACACAAACTATCATTTTCATCGATACCTTGGTGATGTCAGTGGTCATTGTCGAACATTGGAATTTTTTTATCAACAATGCTCTGATTTCATTGTCAATACTATTGATTTTTTACAGGTTATGACTGATGTTCGTATATTATTAAGTGAACGTTATACATTTGAGGAATTTGTTCATGATAATTCTGATATTATTGCTGGTTGTTTGTTAGATGAAGCAATGATTCTTAATGACAGAATAAAAGAATTGAAGCAATATGGAATTGTGATTTTAGAAGAAGATTATAACCAATCTAAACGTGTATATTTACGTTTGCCATATATTATGCTTTGGTGCTTGATTATCATATCAAACAAATCAAATAATTTATATC